AGTTTAGAAAACTTACCACATTTCAACATTTAGAAAATAAGATACATAAATATCTTTACTAAAATATTACTCACAGTGGTTTGGTTGCCAACACGTCTTCGCGAATGAACCTACACAATTCATGACATATACTCATTGAATCAAATTGCTTAACCGGATCGTTCTTTAACTTATTCAATTATTTTAAGTCTCATTCTAACTTATAGATTCATTTAGGAGGCTCAATTCATGCCTAATAATGTTTAGAAAGGGGTGAGAATGCCAAAATGGGTAAAACATGACTTTTCAAAATATGTTGAATTAGGACACTTTGCTGGAGCTCAACATTGGTTGCTTGAGCGGACTACATAGTCTGCAAAAGTACTAGATGGTTTGAATCTAGGCTGAATGGTTGTTCAAGCCAAGGTGAAAAATGAACTGAGGTCGCTCGAGTGTCAACTTGGTTGCCCGAGCCAACAAAAAAAACTCTGCAAAACTACTGGATGCATGAGATGTAAGCTCAAGTGACAAATTGTTCGTTCGAGCGGTGAGGTTGAATTCTAGAATTTTCAGAACAGAATTAAGCATCAAAACACATAGTTTCAAATCATGAACTTGCATGGCTCATTCACAACTTAAAAGAACACTTAGAAACTCTTCCAAAAACATAATCATGTACTCAACTTCAAACCCTTACTTCAAAACTTCAATAATTCTTCAAAATAAACCTCAAATTCTCATGCAAGTATCAACAGACTTCAAATTATTTTCCAAGATTTCAAAAACATGCAATTGAGTTTTAAAACAACATGATTCATGGATGCATGTAGAATTCAACTTCTAAACTTAACATAGGTAATAAAACTCATGATCAAAATGATGATTCTACACTCTTATGTGCATGCGTATATGATCTAGCTTCAAATTTCATGTCCAAAGCTTACAAAACATGGAGATTAGCTTCAAAACAAATTAATTCTTGAATGCATGTATGATATGATCCTCAATTCTAACATGGATAACAAAGCCTTGATCGAAAGGATGAAACTCAACAAAACTATGCATGCATGTGTGAATTAACTTCAAATTCATTATTCTAAGCTCAATTCTTGCATTTCATTTCATAATCTTCATGAATACACAAATTTATGGCTTCAATTCACTAACTAAGGGTCAAACACATACCTAGAGTCTTCAATTACACTTGTATTAACTAATTCTTGAGCCTCTCTTCCAAATTCACAAGCCTTCTAGCCAAATCCTCCAAGATCAAGCTCTCTCTCTCTCTCTCTCTCTAAATTGCTCTCTCTTTCTCTCTAGAACATAAATCTTAGAATTTTTTAGTGTGAAGTGAGCTTAAACTCTCAACTTAACATATATATAGGCTTAATTAACTTTATTAACTAATCAAGGATTAGGCTAAGTAATTAGAGCTTAAGGCATAATCAAATATAACATAACTTAATTGATTTAATCTAATTAATTTAGCCTGAATCAAATTTTAATCAAACTTCTCATTAGGCTCTAAAAATTATGCTAATCGCAATAAACTACTCAATTTCGGTTTCTGACGCCGTTAAGATCTTCAATTTCGGATCATAACAAAATTCACAACAGATATTCTTATAATTGACAAATATGCATCAAGAAATCACATTAATCACATAATTAGCATTCAAATTCACACTAAGAACTTAAGCACATGCAAAATTAAAGAATAAAAAGTACATTACGCAATGGGGTTGCCACAGTCTTCCCTTTTGAGAAGTTTGTTCCTCCAAACGTGCGTTACCTCATGTCGGAAATAACTCGGGATACCTTCGCCTCATGTCATCTTATTTCTCCCAAGTTGCCTCTGTGCCATAGTGCTCCTCTTTCCATTATAATTTTACCATAGGAATTTCTCTATTTCTTAACTGTTTCACTTGTTGGTCAAGGCTTTGGTTCGGTTTCTTTTCATATTCTATATTCCTATCGAGAGCTATCTGGTAACAATCAATAACATGCGGCAGATCTCGGAGGTAGACTCTCAACATCGATACTCAACATCGATATGTGAAACACATTATGCATTTGTTCCATTCTTGGCGGTAAAGCAATTCGGTATGCGATTAGACCAAGCCTTTCCAAAATCTAAACTGGTCCAATGTATCGAGATGACAACTTGTTTTTCTTGCCAAACCTCGATTGACCCTTCATTCGAATCACGCGAATGAACATGTGATCACTAGCTTCATACTTAAAAGCCCTTCTTCTATGATCCGCATAACTTCTTTTCTCAGCTTTGTGCTGTATTTAGCCTTTGTTGAATGACTTTAATCTTCTCGGTAGTTGTTTACACAATTTCAAGTCCAAGCAAGACCCTATCCTAACTTCGTTCCAACAAGTCAGGGATCTACATTTTCGGCCATACAAGGCTTCATATGGTGTCATTCCAATAGGAAACTATTGTACCCAAATTCCGCCAATGGTAAATAGGTTTCCCAACTTTCCTGAAAATCCAAGGCATACATTCAAAGTATATCCTCTAAAGTTTGAATAGTTCTTTTTGATTACCTGTCAGTTTGCGGATGAAAAGCGGTATTGAACTTCAATTCAGTTTCCAATGCTCTTTAAAGACTCTTCTAGAATCTAGACACAAATTCAACAGTTCCCTTCTTCATGTTGCGCCACCAATACATTTGTTTCAAATCTCATCTAACTTTACTACAGCAGTTTGATCAATTCCCCTTTGTCATAGAAGTTCAATTCATCCCTCAATCATTCCACAGTTCACGATTCAATTCGATATTCGGTTAGGTGATTCATCATAGTCATCCAAGGTTATTCAGAAGTCATCAAGAATATAAAGTGGATCTACGTACTAATTCCCAAGTCAGCAAAGGTAACAACAAAGCAATCAATCACATGACTTATATAATTCACATATTTCCATAGTACCAATTGTAAAGTATGATAATATTGAAGTAGTCAATCACAAGACATACTAAATTCATATACTTCTAGGGTTTTTTTTTAAATCCCAAGTAGTATTCATAATCAAAATAGTTCGTGAGAGGGGAATTCTTAATTGGACCTGCAACCGTGGAAGAGGTCGGGCAGGAAGAGGTCCGAGCATGTTTGGGCCGAGCTAACTTGGACCGATCCTGGGTTGGGTTGCTCGGTTGAAGTCCAGGGCCCATTTAGCCGAGATGGTTTTCTGTCAGTCCGGGCTTTACTGTTTGCATATTTAGCTCGACGAGAAAGGTCTTCTGCGGACTGGCCTAGCTTGGCTGGAGCGCGGTCGTACCGGAATGCTACTGAGCTCGGTTGTGATGAAGATCGGCAAAGGACGTTGTTGTACTCGTTAGCTAGCACAGTCGTAGAAGGCCGGGATAATGTCCCCGAGCTGCTCGTTCCGGCTAATGCTGTTTGGCGGTTTGATTAGGTGGTGTTTGGCTGAATTTGCGTTGACAGATGGGAGAGCGTGATAGGAGAACAGCTCCACGTGTCAATAGGCGAATGGATGCAGAGGTAAACGCATAAAGTATATAAGCATGACTGCGTCCCCCATGCTGGAGCGAGAACATTAATTGGTGAGAGAAATTTAACATTCATAGAGTTCTCCCCCTCTCTCTCTCTCTCTCTCTCTCTCTCTCTCTCTCTCTCTCTCTCTTTGAGTGTGCTAACTTGACCGTCGGAGGGGTTTTCTGGTAACACACCGCTGGGTAGCTCACCGCCGTTGTGTTTGCAGATCAATCGAATAGAAATAGAGCTTGGACGCAAAGAGTGTGGAGAGCGATGGATATTTCCTCCTCGTACAATTGGCGCCGTCTGTGGAAAAAGTCTTGAGCAAACACAACCTTGCCCTCTAAGCTCATTGGATCACCCTTCATGGTGAACAACGACGAAACGCCACTGTCTGCCATCAACGGTGTCACCCCAGAGTCAGTTCGACGTAGAGACGGACTTCCCGTTATTCCGAATATGAAGGACCTAGAGACTTCCCCAGGAAGTCTTCCAAGAGATGCACGTGATAAGCGCGCCAGAAGCTTCGGTCACTCGCGGAGCCCAGACGGACACCAGCGGTGAAGAGAGTCGCACGATCGACGCCTGGAGCATAGGTTGAGGGACCAAGACGCTGTCATCTAGAGAATGGCGGTAGAGATGGAAGCTCTCAAACGGCAGGTCAAGGGAAAGGGTGCAGCTGGAGTGGTAGACCACAGTAAGCGCACCCAACCCCGCCGCTCTGGCAGCCATAGCCAGTGGCCCACACCTTCCCTTGCTATCACCAGAAGCTATAGTGTTGGAGACTCCGACATGCCGGCAGAGAAGTCTAGCACGCAAGATAGTACCTACCATCCCTCACATCCGTCGACCACATCGAGATATTCCTACTCCGTTCGTTCAGAGGACTTGAGGGATGTCTTGAAGAAGCAAGCTCGCCGATGGGGGATTCAAAGGGTGCCGGCGCTCCAATGGTTATCCTACGGAGGTCGCGCCAGCGAGGTGGTTATGATGCCGCCACCCCGTTCAGCCATGCCTGTCCCTTTGGACAAAGATTTGGCGAGGTTAAGCGCCACCCCCTTTTCCCATGAGATAGAGACCACGCCACTCCCAACGGGCTTTCACCAGCCCAAGTTTACGCTTTGTGATAGGAAAAGCAATCCATACATGCATGTAAGCCACTTCCGATAGGTCATGGCTGGACACAGGCGTAATGACGCTCTCATGTGCCTTATTTTCCCATCAAGTTTAGGCGAGCTGGGCTTGAAATGGTTTGAGAGACTTCTAGAAGAAAGCATTGAAGGGTGGCAGCAATTGGCGGAAGCATTCGTGACTCGTTTCAAAACCAACACCAAAACGCCGAAGGAAGTGGACCACCTTCTAAGCGTCAAGATGAAGTCGAGTGACACCCTCAAGGTATACAACTCCAGGTACTAGGAAACCTTCAACGAGTCCTAGATTGCCTGACCAACCTGGCAATCACCCAATATAGGCGCGGTCTCCCGACCGGACATAGGCTGCAGGACTCGCTTACAATGAACCAGCCGACTTCCATGGGGCAACTAATGCAACGCATCAATGAGCACATCCGAGTAGAGGATGATGCGGCGGCGTCCACCGCGAAGACAAATCTGGTGGCAACGGACAAAAGGGTGGCTGGCAAGGTACACACAATCGAACAGGAGACAAGCCGTCCAAATGATCGCGCGGGGGAATCTGACCGTGGTCCAAATCGTAGAAACCAGGGTAGAGGTCGCCGCAATGATAGGGCAGAATACCCCCGCGATGACGCAGCTGATGCAAACAGAAAGTTGAACGCTCAGACGGGCATCACCATAGTATTTAAGATTCCAATCTATCGCATACTTAGTGAAATCCGCGACGAGGATTATGTCCGGCTTCCCGCTAAGTTAGGCGATACGCAAAAGGGCTTCAATCCGTGGTACCGTTGCACATTTCATAGGGAGCGAGGGCACCGAACGGAAGACTGCTTACCCTTAAAACAACACTTGGAGGAGCTAGTTGCAGCCGGTCACTTAGACCTTTACATCGATGGGGGCGTTAGAGCTGCTCACCGCACCCTGGCTGATCCAAGTGGTTCGAATGACCTGGAGGCGCCCCGTCAAGGAGTGGTCAATGTGATCAACGGTATTGTGGAGCCGGCGCGGGTATGCGAGCTTCGAGGGATGATCAAAAAGGCGGAACATATGAGGAAAGTTTTGTCAGTCCAACCCGCGATCAAAAGGGGCAAGATCGAGGAAAAAGACATGATTAGCTTCTCGACTAGGGACCTTGAGCGCATTCAAACGCCACGCAATGACGCCCTAGTAGTCACCCTCCGCATCAGAGACTTCGATGTCAGGCGCATCCTGATTGACCAGGGAAGCTCGGTTGAGATTATGTACTACGACGCCTTCAAGCAGCTCAAACTTCGGGATACAGACTTGGCTCCGGCAACTTCGCCACTAGTTGGTTTCAACTCACAATCGGAGTGGCCTATGGGAAAGATAATCTTACTAGTCAAAGTCAGATCCATGGTCAAGCAAGTGGAGTTCTAGGTATTGAAGGTGCCGTCCACATACAACCTGATCTTAGGTAAGGGATGGCATCACGCTATGCAGGCGGTAGCGTCAACCTACCACCAGGTTATGAGGTTCCCCTCAGTTATGGGGGAAGTTGAGGAAATTTAGGGTGATCAAATCATGTCGAAGCAATGTTTCGTGGCAGTGAATGGGAGCTGAGATGCCAAAGGCTTCGTGCAAATGATTAAAGGTCCGGAAGACCAAAGTGTCCTTGATGACGTGGGCACCAGGGCTAAGGACAAGGCTGTTGAAGAGTTGGTGGAAGTACGGATCGACACCAAAAATCCAAACGAGTTCTTTTTGCTAGGGTCAAGCCTGATCGCCCAAGAAAGGACCGCGATGGTAGAGTTCTTGATGGCGAATATCGAAGTCTTCGCATGAACGCCGTACAACATGCCTAGCATTGATCCAAGCTTTATTTGCCACTAACTCAATGTTTTCCCGGATGCACGTCCTGTCATTCAAAGGACGAGGAAATCGGCTCTTCATCACGCCGAGGTAGTCGTGGAGGAAGTGAGGAACTTGCTGGAATCAAGGGCTATCCAGGAAGTGCACTACCCTTGATGGGTTTCAAACACGGTCGTAGTGCCCAAGAAGAATGGGAAGTGGCGAGTTTGCGTTGATTACAAGACTGTCAACCGAGCTTGCCCTAGAGATAGCTTTCCTCTACCCAGAATAAACCAGTTAGTGGATCTCACGGCTGGGCATAACAGGCTCAATTTCCTAGATGCCTATCGCGGTTATCACCAGATTGCCATGCATGCTCCCGACCAGAAGATAACCTCTTTCACTACCCCAAGGGGGCTATTCTGCTATTGAGTCATGCCTTTTGGTCTGAAGAACGCTGGGGCGACTTTCCAAAGGATGGTGACTAAAATGTTTGCTTCTCTGCTGGGCCGGACAATGGAGGCTTACATCAACGACATGGTGGTCAAAAGTAGGCAGCAGACCGACCACTTATCCGACCTAGCCAAGATGTTCGCTATTCTTAAACAACACAGGCTTCGCCTGAATGCGTCAAAGTGTGCCTTCGGCGTGGGATCTAGGAAATTCCTGGGCTTCCTAGTCACAAACCGAGGCATCGAAACAGACCCCTCACAAATCAAAGCCATCCAAGAATTGAAGCATCCCAACTCGGCAAAGGACGTGCAACATCTCGCCGGTATGGCAGCCGCGCTTAATCGATTCATAAGTCGGTCATCAGATCGTTGCTGCCCTTTCTTTAGAGCTTTGAAGTCCAAGTTTTTGTGGGACGATGAATGTGATAGGGCTTTGGCCGAGCTCAAGAGGTATTTATCTTCCGCCCCACTATTGGTGACACCCAAGCCCGGCGAAGAACTCTACCTTTATCTGGCAGTTTCTCAACATGCAGTTAGTGCGGTGCTTGTCCGGTCAGAGGGCATCCAGCATCTCTGTATCTTTTACTTGAGCAAAACCTTGCTCCCAACAGAGTCGAGGTATTTGCCACTGGAAAAACTTGCTTTGGCACTAATGATGGCCTCTCGAAAATTGGTGCACTACTTTCATGCTCACACAATTGTCGTGTTGACCGAATTTGCTCTAAATGCCTTGTTTGAATAGGCGGATTTCTCCTGTAGGATTCTGAAGTGGGCAGCCGAATTGGGGCAATTTGACATCAAGTTTTGACCCCGAACTGCCATCAAAGCCCAAGCCCTAGCAGACTTCGTTGCGAAATTCTCGCCTGGAACTTACCAGGCATGCCCGGTGGATCTTACCGCAGTAGCCGAGATGGAAAATGAAGGCTCAATAGAAATAACACAACAGAGTGATATTGGCGACGCGGAGCTTGTGCGCCCATCCATACAACCTTCAATCGGAATTGTACCCCTGCCTGGCAATATGACGATGGGCTTGGAAGTAATCGAACAACCTGTTGGGTCTGGGGCCGTATCACCAAGGGAGGATGAAGACATATCTATCGAAACCATCAACGGAGAGCTTGCAACAGACATAGCCGTGCAGCCAAGCGACCATGATGCCGTCAGCTTGTAGGCCTCCTAGGATCCCTCAGAAAGTTGGAAGCTTTTTGTTGGTGAAATGTGGAAACTTTTCGTAGATGGTGCCTCGAACCAACACGGCGCCGGGCTGGGCATTGTTTTGATCTCGCCCAACGGTCTAACCATCGAACACTCTATTACACTTGGATTCCCAGCATCGAACAATGAGGCTGAATACGAAGCACTGCTGGCCGGACTTAGAAGCGCCCTCCAATTGCGCGCATCCGAGGTGATGGTCTACAGCGATTCCCAACTCGCCGTCAACCAAGTGTCCGGGATCTACGAAGCCAAAGATGACAGACTGGCCAAGTACCAAGCTCTAGTGAGAGAACACATCAAGGAATTTCAGGTAATAAGGGTCCAACAAATTGGCCGTGAAGAGAACGGCCGAGCAGACGAGTTGGACGGTCTAGCTTCCATGTTCGACAATCCAACTCCCAATCCTCTCCTAATCGAGTTTTTCCCAAGGCCTAGTATTGAGGATTCCGTGTAGATAGAAGTACTCTGCACCAAACTTCACCCCTCTTGGATGGATCCCATCATCCTTTTCCTAAAAAAACGAATCCTTTCGACCGACAAGAAGGAAGCGCATAAAGTCCGGGTGAAATCAGAGAGGTTTTGGCTCTCTCCATCTAGTGCTTTATATAAGAAGTCATTCACAGGTCCATACCTCAAGTGCGTTCATCCAAATAGTATGGAAGCTTTCCTGTACGAAATCCATGAAAGAATGTGCGGAAGTCACATCGGGGGGAGATCTTTAGCCTACTGAGCTATCTCGCAAGGGTACTAGTGGCCATGCATGCAAACGGATGCTCAGAAGTATGTTAGAAAATGTGAAAAATGCCAGAAGTTCGCTCACCAAATTCACCAGCCGGCCAGAGAACGTCTTCCCCTTACAAGCCCTTGGCCTTTCGCGATGTGGGGGTTGGACATAGTGGGACCACTCCCAACGGCACCGGGCAATCGGAAGTTCTTCATTGCGACTACGGATTACTTCACCAAACGGGTTGATGCTGAGCCCTTAGCGACTATCAAAGAGAAAGATGTCAAAGGGTTTGTTTGGCAGTATGTGATAACACGGTTTGGTATCCCCAAGGTTCTGATTTCTGATAATGGCACCCAATTTGATGGGCGCTTGTTCAGAGGATTTTGTGAGGAACTGAAGATAGAATTCAACAACTCTACCCCGACTTACCCGCAGTTCAACGGCCAAGCCGAAGCATCGAACAAGACCATTCTCGATGGGTTGAAGAAAAGGCTAGAAAAAGCCAAAGGAAAATGGGCCGAAGAACTCTCAAGCGTCCTTTGGGCATATCGGACAACCCCGAGACGCTCGACCGGGGAAACTCCTTTTGCCTTGGCTTATGGCATGGAGGCAGTCATCTCGTTGGAAATCGGTATGCCCACTATCCGGAGCGAAAATTTTGAGTCCGAGTTGAACTCTGAAGCCATCGCCCTGGAATTGGACCTAGCTGATGAGTGCCGAGAAAAGGCTTTAATCCACGTGGCCACATACCAACAAGAACTGTCCAGAAAATACAACAAAATGGTGCACACCAGACCGTTTAAAGTTGGGGACTGGGTCTTAAGGAAGGTGATGGGCAACACACTGGTGCCGGGCGAAGGCAAGCTAGGGGCAAACTGGGAAGGGCCTTATAGGATAATCGGTCAGGCGGGCAAGGGGGCATACCACTTAGAGGACTTGGATGACAAAGGCATACCTCGGCCATGGAATGCGGCTAACCTCAAACTATACTATTTTTAGTATTTGCCTTTTTTCATGTAATTTTTTGTGGAAGGACTGGCCACTGTAACTCTTCTTGCTTCTGAATGTAACTCTTTTTGCCACTGTAATAGAAGTGAATTATCTTTGCTGAAGAAGTTTGTTGTGTTCGAAGTAATGTAGTAACTGAGATGATTTACCCCGGCTAAAAGAGTTGGTGGTTTGCCCAGCTCAATGGCTCTAGCCGAAATAATCTACCCTGGCTAGAAGGGTTGATGATGTGCTCAACTCTTGTGTTTTAGCCGAGATGATTTACCCCAGCTAAAAGAGTTGGTTACTTGCCCAACTCAAATGCTATGGCCGAGATGATCTACCCCGGCTAGAATGGTTGATAATGTGCTCAACTCTTGCGTTTTAGCCGAGATTATTTACCTCGACTAAAAGAGTTGGTGACTTGCCCAACTCAAAGGCTCTGGCCAAGATGACCTACCCTGGCTAGAAGGGTTGATGATGTGCTCAACTCTTGTGTTTTGGCCGAGATGATTTACCCTGACTAAAAGAGTTGGTGGTTTGCCCAACTCAAAGGCTCTAGCCGAGATGTTTTACCCCCGCTAAGAGAGATGGTGATTTGCCCAACTCAAAGTTTTATGGTGGTTTACTCAACTCTTACTTTTGTGCCGAGATGTTTGAAGTCAGCTCGAAGAGTGAATTATTTTAGCATATTTGCCGGGATGGGTATCTCGGCCTACGTGTTGACGGCCGGTTCAACTCTAGTAGTACGATTTATTTTGACCGAGATACTTTTCTCACCGGGCAGAAGTAGTACGGTTGGAAAATTTACAACAACACCACATTGCAAGAGTACAAGCAAAATGAAAACTTTTCGTTGATAGGAGAACTGGGTACATGAAGTGGGGCTTGTAGCCCGATTACAAAAGCTCAAACAAAAAAAATAAATAAATAAGAAGGTCTTAACTACGCTAACGGAGAGAGGTCAGCAAACTCATCCCTGGTTGCTTCTGTCACGGCTTCCACGTCCACGACCGCGGCCTTCTCCTTTTCACCGAGCTCCTGCTGGCTACCGTCATCCTTGGCCTTCGTTTCTGCCACCTCTTGCAAAGCGTTGATGACTTCGTTGGCGTAAGGAATCAGGTAGGCCGACAAAAAGGTCGGGGGAGGAGAAGCAAACACCTCGGTCTCCACTCCTTGGCCGAGCTTTTTACAAGCGGCCTTCCAGCCAGACTTGAAATAAATGTCCTTGGTGGCCTCGACTTGCTTGCTGTAGTTGTCCTTGGCCTCTTGGAAATCGAGATTGTTCGCCTCGTCCACAGCAGCCTTCCGCGCCTTTTTCTCGGTTGCAATTTGGGCTTTTAGCTCATCTCTCTCCTGCTCAGCCCTGCCGAGCTGGCCAAGGAGTCTTGCGTTGTTAGCATCGGCCGTTTCAAGCGATGCTTTAGACCACCGCAGCTCGGTTTCCAAATGCTTGACCTGGTTGGCCCCATCAGTCACCTTTTACCGGAGCTTGTGAATCCGGTCCATCACAAGATGTTGTTTTTGGATGGCCTGTAAGAGGATGTGTTAGAGTTTGAATAAAGAAAATCAACCGTGCAAACACTTGAACAAATTTGAATAAGACATGCGGAATTCTTACCCGGGTCATAGACTTGACTGAGGACTTCACGAGCCGGGTGTCGGGCACGTGGTCAGTGCCGGACACGTCGCTCGGCAGGAGTAGAGCTTTTGTCAGGTCGAAGGCCAGGAGATATTCTTTGTCGCCTTTGACTGAGGCGTTGGCTGGGATCTCTTTACCCCGGTGCTTCAATTGTGGCTGCCATGGCAGTGTTGGCTCAGATGTGTCCGCAGGTTGCTCTGTGCTAAGCTCTGCAACTAGCTCGGCTGTTGGGTCGGCGGACCGAGGCCTTTTCCTAGCTCTACGACTTTCTTTGCTTGTCTGCGCCGCGGCAGTTGACGCCAAAGCAATTACCATCCTGGATGTTTGACCGGCAGCCGGGGCACCGTGAGGGATGCTTGATACCTTGGTAGACATGGCGGTAATCAGATTTTTGATACGACGTCGTTTGGCCATTTCTTCTTCCTCGGTAAGACGGATTAGGGGCACGTCCGGTAGTGTCGGATCGGGTGGTGGAGACGGTGCTCGGAGAAAGTCTGTAACTCTACTCCGACGGGGAGCTGTGTATCTATAGCTCAGTACGTAGCCGAGAAGGTCGTGGCAATCTCGGTTACGATACCGTAGCGATGTTCTGATGGCAGCCTCGTTTGGGTTGAAGTAGTTCGCTTGCAAGGCTTCGATAGCTGCAAAGAAAAAAAAGGCATTAGTGCAGAATAGTGAAGGAAAGTGGTTTGACCGAGCAGTGAGTACGGCTTACATGTCGAACCAAAGTTCTTGCTGATGTACCAGCCGGGCACGTCGGCTGTTTCATAATTTTCAAACATCCAGAAAAAGTCATCATCGTGCATGTCTTTATTTGGGGTGCCAGTTATGAGCTTTTTCTTGTTCGGCCTAATCTTCAGGTAATAGTTAAGCCCGTCGCCTGTATGCCCGATGGTGTACTGGCGTAGAATCTCGGCTAATCCTAGGTTCAGGCCGAGCTGGTGGTTCAGCTCGGCTACCCCGTTAATTATTCTGAAGGTGTTGGTTGAAACTTGTGTTGGTGCTAACCCGGTGTGTCTCAAGAACTCACACATTAAGGGTTGAACCGGGAAACGTAGGCCGCCTTCGATTATGAAAAGCAAGGTGAAGGGGCATTGGTCCAGTCTGCCCCATGGAGTGGCGTTCTCTGCACCGAGCTCGAGATGTACGTCTGCAGGGACGCCATATTCTTCCCGGAACGCGGCTAGTGCGACCGGCATATCAACGAGGAAGCAGTAATGCCCCATGTGAAGCTGGCCTATTTCAGCACGGCGGTATTGGTTGGCAAAATTTCATACGAAGGCAGCTCGGACTTTTGAAAGCCTTGGTGTTGGTGTTTGGTTCCCTAGGACTCTGCAGTAAAAGTAAGTGTAAGTGGAAGCGTGGTCGGGCAAAACGAGCTCGACTTTAGCTCGGTTAGATGGAGTGCCAGACCATCTCGATCATAGAGGTATACCCCAGAAGCTCGGCCGTTCAAGCGGACCAGATATTAGCCCGGTCGAGCGATCTAGCATTCTGTTACCTCGGTTCCTACACGAGTCTTGCAAACTCGCGACTTGCACAGTTTTGGTGTTTTTTGGGATCAAAAGAAGACTTGGACCCCGGTCCGCCCTAAATCCTC